CAACTTCTTCATGTGATGCCACTTACATCATATGACGCGCGAGATATTAAATAAACTAGGAAACAAAATCAGTTACATTAGTGATATAATACAATATTGTATTTTGTCAAAACACGTGCGGGTTGTTGTCCTTTTCAAACACATCTCCGCTTTTTTTCTCCAAAGCTGGGCGCCTCTGAGCGATTGCTTCCCTCACACGGCCAAACTGCTGACAATAAGCGTCCGAATTAAGGTTTAGCCGGAAGCAGCTAATAAGGAGCAATGTCTTGCAAATTGCCTTAAACGCACAAATATCCTGACAGAAGAGCGTTTTTACCGGCACACTGTCTTTCGATCGCGGCTTTCCATCACCAGTCACTATCTATATGCACATATTAATTGGTACATTGTAACAGCTCAAATGACTTTTGGGCGAACACTACTTACATTTTGTGATGAGTGTCTGGATGTTCGTACTACAAATGGAGAGACCTACAGTGCATCTTAAGCCTCCTGAGGAGTTTTTTATTACATGTCGGAAGGATACTCGAAGATAAAGAGACTCTTGGCAAAGAGGAAAACACAATTCCAAATTTTTCTATATATTTATCGCTGCAGCCCACGCACGTCTAGTGCGGTGCTCCTCGGCAGATACATTCAGTCACAGCAGCGTAACGTTGACATCGAACCACTCGCCAGCTCGCTGAATATGGCATACTATGGCAATATTACCATTGGTACATCCCCACAAGAATTCCGTGTGATCTTTAATCGGACCGGCTCATCCAATTTGTGGATATCATCGTATCTCTGCGATTTCTGGAACTTTGCGTGTTACGAAACGCATCACCAGCGTTACAGATATGTAACGGATGATCTATAAGCATATCTTATTGCTCTGGTCAAATAAGTGGTTACCTCTCGACCGGCATTGTGCTCTGTCTGGCTTAATCATATGTAGACAGACATTTGCTGAAGCGCAGAGTGAAACGGGTTTTACGAATAGTAATTTTGATGGCATTTTCGGCTTGGCATACAATTCAGTAGCTGCGGACAATGTTGTGCCGCCATTCTATAATATTTGGGCACAGCGCTTGGTCGCCAAATCTGTCTTCTCTTTCTATTTGACGCGAGCGGGCACTTCACAACAAGGTGGTGAGCTCATCTTAGGCGGTTCGGATCCCAAATACTATATAGTAGATGGTCTCTCATTTGAGGGCAATGTTTTAAGTCGGAATTTCCAGACTATCGCAGATACCGGCACCAGTCTTATTGTCGTTGGCAATGCCAATGTCTACTACATGTTAAATAATATTATTTATTGGTGCCGAGCAAGCATCAGATGGTAATTATTATGTCGACTGCAGCAGTATTTCTTCACTGCCCACCGTGAATTTGGTGATTGTTGGCAAAAGCTTCCCACTGCCGCCAAGTGCCTATATTGTGAATGTGGATGACGTGTGCATGTCCAGTTTCACATAAATGAGTTCTGGCTTGTGGATACTGGGCGATGTGTTTATTGGCCTTTACTACTCTGAATTCGATATGGTAATAATTGCTTGGGGTTTGCGCCCGTCGCTTGAGTTAAAATAAAAAATTAAATACTTTTTAATAATAAAATTATTGAGGCAATTTAAAATGTTGTTGAATTCAGGTATTATATAATTGGCGATTTATAACCGTTGAAGTGGTTTTCGGCCGTGTTTCTTCTCCAATTTATGCTGATTGGGTGTTGAAGTTTTTCTGGTTAAATGGAGGGGCCTACAGTTTATTCTAAGACGTCTCCGAACGGCTGTTGGTTTTGATCTTTTCTATCTCATATATATACTCGTAATTGTTGACAAGCCTGCAATCCTGAAAATATTCTCCGAGGGTCTATTGAAAAACCTATTTTGAGAATATTTCACGAATTTTCATATGTATGCACGTATATTTACATATATATGTTGCTATCAACAACCAAATGTTATCGCTAAAAATAATCAAAAATTTGCAATCTCTTATCAAATTACGATCAATTATACATATATACATATTTTCTATAAGAAATTTGATTTAAATATTTTAAGCTTCTCATAAACCATTCATAACTTCAAAAGCCGCTGAAGAGATTTTTGGCCGAGCTCCTCCTGCAATTTGTAGTTTTGTGTTTTGCTTCTTGATGTTTTTCCTGCTGTCTGTTATAAGCCGTCGCCGAATGATTGATTTTTAGGAGGAGCTTTTTTATTTCATTTCAAAAATACACTTGGAGAGCATGACATTCTCTACCGAGGGGCGACCGCAGTAGATTAATTTTCTATAATTTTCGCTATTTTAGTCGAAGCAGGACTTGAATTCTGGCTTACAGAATTCCAGTACGCCATGGCAGTCACTTGGCTAATGAAACTGCCGAATTTATTTTAAATTAAAGAAAATAAGGTTTTCTGCTAATTTTAATCAAGATTTTCACAAAAGCAACAGTTAACAACAGACATGTGCTGACTACCGTGGTGGCCCAACGGGTTATAATGTGCGCGCCAAAATTTTCTTTCTATAAATTTATTGTTTCGTTCGATGCATGGCATGTACCGTCGTCTTCTAAGGACCAATGGTCGTCCACATCAACATCCTCGAATTAAGGCATGAAAAAGTCATTAATCATGGCTCTATGGCGTAACATTATGGCCATCACCATGGTGTTATTTTTGAAGGTATATACGAGTAGACCATGATTCCGTCTGCCTATAGAGCATACGAGAGGTTGTACTTTTGAGAATGTCAAAACAACTAAAAGTGGACTAAAAAAAAAACTAAATTTGAAAGATGCGAAGACCTTGTCCCAGAGTAAATCTGTACATTAGTATACTGCCAGCCAAACAGAGTATAAATCAAGTAACAGCTAATAAAGAGATCAATTTCGAAAAAGATATTCCGTTATTCAAAACTTGTTAAAGAGATTAATAAGGAAATACTTTCCATAATTAACAACTCGTTTAAACGATATCAAAGTGATAGAATGACTGCAAAGCTTCTCAAACACATAAAACTTTGCTTAAAATGAGGTATTGGAATATTGGTACAGATCATATTATTCCAAAGTACAAGCAATGGCATGTGTAACAACACTTTCTGCTTCTTCGGCCTTGGGCAGACGTTTTCTCGACTTTACCTCAGCAAGCTTTAAGCGTTTTACCACTACTCGCAGTGTTATTTCTGCCCATTGGATAGTTCCATGTTATTACATTTTATAGTGTTTACTCTCAAGATTGCTCCAGTCCACTAATCTAATGAATCCTTCAGGTAGAGTGAAGCAGTGTAAAACATATTGGAGATCAGAAAAAATAAGAGAAAGTCGGAAAATACGCAGCGGGGAGTGAGGTATTGGGCTCAAACGAAAGACTTAGCTAGCTTTAGAATCTCATGAAAGAACGGTACTGCATAACTGTCACCGCTAATCGTTTCACCAAAATGTAGTAATCCAAAACTGTGACAAACTCAAAATAGACGTTATATCCAACTCACCAATGACAGTGCATAAGTGACGGCTAGGAATATCCGGAACAAGAGCCCAATCACCGTAGGTTGCAATTGATTAGAATATTACTACTGCGGGTTAGGGGTTTAAGATTTATGTTGCAACTACCCATTTTTCTTACCATTCGTCCATAATAGGCGACGTCAAGAGCAAGATAATTTAAGCGGGACAACCGTCACTAACGTCATGGGCAAGCGGTGACAACTTTGTGTTTACATGGTGCTCTCTTAAGATAAGTTCCTATGGTTGGATGGTACGTCAGTTGGGTAGTTACAGCATTACCTGCGGTAAGGCGATCGCGGTAGACGAGTGGTTAGCATTGCGTACTGCCATTCGCAAGGAACGAATTCAAATCCAAAAGTTATAGAAAATTAATTTATAATAAAAAATTAAGTTAAATTTTCTGATAGCGATACCCCTGGGAAAAGGAATGTGGCGGAGATGGCAATCGCTGGAGAGAAAAAAATTACTCTGTTTTCGGTAAAAAGACTAGATTGGATTTTAGTCGGCTCATAAGGCAGACATGCCTTACCGCAGCCCGCATAATCCGTATTGGTCAATAAAAGGATTATTTCAGCATTATTTTCGTGTAAAATGTTTGATTTTTCCGCATAGAAATTAGCTTGAGTCCTTAGCTGTTTTCGATTTTCATGACACAACCTTCGAAAGCATTTTAACATTATTTGCCGGAAACCGTTCGCAGAAAATTTTAGAACATTTAAAAATTTACACCAACAATACAACAAAAAATTTAGAGAATCAAAATAAGTTTTTGCTCAAAATACTCAAGAAGTCTCCAAATAATCGGGCTCATGATGATAATGAGCAAGGTGAGGTGTTCGTGTGCGAGTACCTACTCGTCGCTCGAACAGCTTGAGCTGTTCGAAAGTGTTCGATCAGAATATTTGCTAATTTGTTTTCGGATATTCGAATATTTTGTAGAAAACTCTGGGGACAAATGCATGATATTTTTTTTTTTTTGATAGTTTGATAGTCTTCTGAACCTGCCCGAAACGAGTATACTGAGAAGACAAAATTAACTGTCAGTTCCATTTGTGCACCCAGGGTGGTATTGGCGATCAAAAAATTGAGGTTGATTTAATTTATTTTTTTTAAATCTCAAACATTTAGACTTTCAAACTTTTAGGCTTCAAAACTAAAAAATTCCGTAAACGAAATGTATATGCACAAAAAAATCTGTCCGTCACCGTTATTAATCATTACTATTATTATATATCCGAGATTTGGGAACAAATTCAGTAAACAAATATTTTGGTTTTCATTTTATTTCACTTTAATTTTATTTTTTTTTTTTGCTGAAAACACAAAATATTTATCTGCCCTAGGAAATGGGGGTAGTCAATAGCAGATATAACGGTTTCATTGAGCAAATTAATTGATTTTTAATCAATGTGAAAAATAAAATGTATTAAACAGAAATAAATAATCATATTTAAGGCCAGTTAAGCTCTGGGAAACGCACATATGCACTTAAGCGCTCCTACACTCACTACAGGTGGCACTCATTTTGGGTATAAATACTTTTCCACACCATCGTCGTGCAGTTAGTTATATTTGGCACAACAACGAAAGGTAAAGCCCATGTATAGATTTAAAAGAAAAAACCGGTTACTCACATACAAATGTATGTTCTTCATACACTTACTTACAGCAAAAAAAAAAAATGTTGAAATTCATCATTTTGCTCGCCCTCATCTCGGCGGTGACATGTGAGCAGCTCGTGCGCATACCCATCCAGCGACATGAACAGGCACACAGGACTTTGGCGCATGTACGTGCCGAAATTGCAGGTCTACGCAATAAATATAATGTAAGCAAGCTCAGTAGTGCCGTCGAGGAGACACTTATGAACTCTTTAAATGTGGGTTACTATGGCAACATCAGCATTGGCACGCCGCCACAATACTTTTTGGTACTCTTCGACACCGGCTCTTCGGATTTTTGGATACCATCTAGCAAATGTGCGCGTACAGATTATGCCTGTCACAATCACAATCGTTACAACAGCAGCGAGTCGCGCACTTACGTGGCGAACGGCAAACCGGCTGGCATGATGTATGGTAGTGGTGAGATGATTGGTTACTTCTCCACCGACACCGTGCGCATTGGCGGATTAACTATTAGAAACCAGACATTTGTCGAGGCTGTCAAAGAACCGGGCAGCACATTTAATCATAAACACTTTGATGGCATACTTGGCATGGGCTATCAGGCGTTTGCCTCCAATCAAGTGCCACCACCCTTCTACAATATGTGGTCACAACATTTGGTTGCCAAAGATGTCTTCTCTTTCTATTTGGCGCGCAATGGCACTTCAAAGCGGGGAGGTGAGCTCATATTGGGTGGTTCAGATCCAAAGTATTATCGTGGTAACTTCACTTATGTACCGGTGACACATCAGGGTTATTGGCAATTCACCGTGGGCTCCATCTCTGTCAATGGTTCGGCTGTGAAGCGGAATTTCCAAGCCATTGCCGATACGGGCACCAGCTTTATTGCTATTGGTGATTATGATTCTTTTATTGCTTTGAATTTGAAAATTGGCGCCAAACGTTATGATGAGGATAACTTTTATGTGGACTGTTCAAAGGTGTCGTCATTGCCGAATGTCGATTTAGAGATTGGTGGCACCAAATTTACACTGCCGCCAACAACTTATATAAATCAATCGAATGGTTTCTGCTTGTCAAGCTTTTTCTATATGGCGGATTATGTTTGGATTTTGGGTGATACTTTTATTGGTAATTTCTATACCGAATTCGATTTGGGTAATAATCGTGTTGGTTTTGCGACAGCTGTTTAAGTTGGGCAACTTTAAATGAGATTGAAAGAAAAAATTATGACGTGTATTTTGATAAATTTATATAAAAAATTGACGAAATTAAAAAAAAAAACTAGATTCAGTTTATTAAACATCTGCCTAAATGTAGGCAATGTTTTCTGGAATGTCCTAGTATATAGCATTGATACGATATGGAATCACATTGCCTACATTTAAGCGTTCTTTTTATGTTTTACTACATTTAATGGGACATACATACCCGTAAACAATTAAAAAATAAATATGTGAAACTTGTACATATGTTTTTATTAATTTACTATTTTAAGTAAATCGTCGCCACAAAAAATTGATTGATGAGCTTTTTTAAAAAAGTACTTAAGATTTTAATCTATTAACATTTAATATGTTTATAAATAAAAAATAAATAGAGGGGTGGTCGGATTCAAAAATAAAACGAAAGTTTCAGTAAATACAACAACATACATAATTTTTGGAATAGAAAATTCACCTCAAACTACTATTTTCTATCATTTTCTTTAATTTTATATTAATTCATCTTTTATTTATTATTTATTTTATTTTATTTTATTTTATTTTATTTTATTTTATTTCATTTTATCTTATTTTATTTTATTTGTATGTATGTTGTTGTCTTTTTTTTGTCATTTTATTTTAATCTAATTTATTTTTCTTTTAATTTTCTATATTTTTTTTTACTTTATAACATTTTATTTTATTTAATTTTTTATTTTGTCTCATTTCACTTTATTTCAATTAATTTTAATATAAATTATTTTATTTTATTTTGATTCATTTTATTTTATTTAATTTTTTTTCTATCATTTAATTTAACTTTATTTTACTTTATTCATTTTCATTCGATATTTGTATATATTATATATAATTAGCACTTTGTAACCGCTGAATCGATTTTGCGTCTTAATGTTATCGTTAGAAAGCTGTAAGTCTTCAATGTAGAGGAAGAAGTTTCCTGCCTACTGCGAACGGATCCGCAAACAAAAATTTATATAAGAGTCAAGTACAGCAGAGCTTGTAGAAAAGATCATCGAAATCTGGCAACACTGTTGAGTGTGATGTTATCTAGGCGAGCATATGATCAACACTCTAGGTTGCTAAACACCCCGGGCATTGAATGTATAACCAACACGACGTCCTACTTTCTCTAGCCGTGAAGTCAATAATAGCGTCAAAGAAGCAATCACAAGTTTCACGCAGTCTAATGAAATTGTTTACCGTCTGGGTAGCGACTCATGTGGACATGGTAGGGTAGTTCAACTATAAAAGTAGTTGTTTCTTTAAATCTTAATATACTCGTACGAAGGGAAACAATCAAAGTAATTGATCTTGTACCAAAGCATAGGAGAAGGGAGCATCGATTCTAAAAAATACTCTTTGTAGAGTTAGGCAAGCCAGGAAGCTTGTACAAGCATATACAGTAAAGAAGAAGATATTGAGATGCTCTACTGAAAAGCCGGTGATCAAAACATTGAGCTCTATGAGACATGATTTGTTTACCTTTGCTTTTTTATTTAACAAAAAGATTAAAATTAAAGTCTATTGCTATCGTTCATCAGCGCTCGCCCAAGCAGTTCGATCAATATTGAGACACTGAGAAGTCCCCCTTACCACTATCTACAGCGGTTCCGCCCCAGTTGTAACTGATTGGTGAAGACAAATCGATACGTCCCAGAAAGAGCGACTATTCAGGGCCACATTCCCAAAACTGAAGTTAACGGACTCTTTAGAAATAGCAAGAGGATCAAGAGCAATACCAAGGCTTAATAATAAAGTTATTATTTGCTCTGGTGACTACCCTCGCGGAAACGTTTGAGTGATACTCTGTAGGGGTTTTCAAGGTTAACACAATTTGACTGTGCATTCAATCATGCTTACTCACCGTTTTAAGTAAACAAAAGAAAACTAATGCGTCACATTACCAATATTACTAATATTTCAGAGAGCTGCGATTTTGAATGTGGCGATAGGATTTTGATTCCAAGTATTAAGGGCTCTTTTGTCATATCTTAACTTAGTGAGAAATTGTAAAATAAAGAATAGAAAAAACTGCAACTTAAAAGTTGTTTTGGTATATTTCGGTGTATACGAATGCATTTACGAGGGGAGCTCTTATAGTTGGCCCGAAACCATTATCGGTCTCAAACCCTCGTCATTTCTGCTATTTTTTCTCCAGTTTGGGAGAGGAAGCTGAGCAAAGTGGGCTGATAGCAAACGAGTGGACAAGACGAAATATTTCCTGTCACCAGCAACTCCATCAATTATGTTAGCCTTGAGATCTGATGCATTTACGACTGAGTATAATATAATTGGCACTTTGTAACCGCTGAAGCTATTTACGGCCGAGCTCCTCCTCCAATTCGTGGTTTTGCGTCTTGATGTTTTACCAATAACGGCTGATGGCTGAGTAGACAATTGAAAAACAAAGGCTTCCGTCGACGTAAAAAGACCGATATCAACATCATCACGGTATAAAAGCGTGGACGAAGATGACATGGATTCCGTCGACGCTGGGCATTTTGAGCGCTCACTTAAGCTCGGTCTTTCGGTTGGAAAGATCAAGTAGAGAAGGATCTGGCTTCTCTTGGTATCTCCAATCGATGCCAAACGGTGTGAAGGTGAAACGTCTGACAATATATTGTTGATATATTGCTGCCTTGGCTACTATCGCGAAAAGCGAGCCAAAACCAAGAAAGAGGAAGAATAATATAATCTGACCGAGACAATTTCGACTCCAGCTGGTTTTTTGTTTACAGTTATGTTAGACTTTTCGTTGTTCTCCAGACGCGCACTTCGTTCGGTTGGAAAGGAGATGGTCAACGCAGAGCCTCGCCATAAAAAATACCCTCAAGTCAGGTCTGTACTGCACAATAAATATTGTAAACAGGCTCTTGTGAACCGGAGAATGATCTCAGCAGAGTTGCACACAGCGGGCGCAAACTTTGGGACATCCCCTCGAGCGTTTATCACTACTTAAATATTTGTATTCATTTAAGAGCTTAAAAATCGCTTTCCTTGATAAGACAAGGCTCATAAGAGTGCACCGTAACTTATTGCAATAAAATAAGACAGATATCATAACATTCGTACAAAAAATCCTATAAAAAGCACTTGAATTGCAATTTTGCACAATTTGTTATTCGAAGTTTCAGCAATAAACAACGGAGAATTTTATCCTTCCGCTACTACCTAAGTTGCTGACAAAATGCTAAAGCTCGCAGCAGCCATTCTGTGTTTGGCACTGGTTGCCGACGCGGCACTCGTACGCATACCATTAAACAAGCCCAACAAACGACGCGCTATTAAGAATATCAGCACACACCTGGCCGTGTTGCGTAGCAAATATAATTCAAATTTCATTGCTACCAGCGAACAATTGACCAACTATCTGGACGATCAATACTATGGACCGATTACAATTGGCACGCCACCACAAAACTTCCAAGTGCTCTTCGATACCGGCTCCTCGAATTTGTGGGTACCTGGGGCACCATGCGCTGCCAATGATTTGGCTTGTCAAACGCACAACACCTACAACGCAGAGGACTCCAGCACTTATCAGTCGAACGGTGAAAGCTTCGCTATACAATATGGCACCGGCAGTTTGACGGGTTACTTAGCCTCAGACACTGTGACGGTGAACGGTTTGGCCATTACGGATCAGACTTTTGGTGTAGCGACGTCAGAGCCTGGCAACACTTTCGTTGACTCCGAATTCGATGGTATACTCGGTATGGGTTTCCAACAGATCGCTGTGGATAATGTAGTGCCACCATTCTACAATATGTACACACAAGGTTTGATTGATTCCGCCGTCTTCGCTTTCTACTTGACGCGTAATAGCACATCCACTCAGGGGAGTGAACTAACACTCGGTGGCATTGATTCTACACATTATGTGGGCGAACTCACTTACGTGCCGGTCATTAACGAAGGTTATTGGCAATTCCAAGTAGATGCGGTTAGTATTGATGGCACTGAACTGAGTGGTGAATGTACAGCCATTGCGGATTCAGGCACCAGTTTGTTGGCTGTGCCCACAGATCTTTATGTCAGCGTACAGGCTGCTATTGGTGCTGAACAAAGTGGTGAGGGGCAATATTTTGTCGACTGCTCACAAGTGAGCGAATTGCCCGTTATTTCGTTCACCATTGGTGGCACCCCATTCGAGCTGAGTGGCGCTGATTATATAGTTGAAGGGCTTAATGAAGCTAATGAGGTGGTGTGCATGTCTGCTTTCGAAGATGCCGGTACTAATTTTTGGATTTTGGGCGATGTTTTCATGGGTAAATACTACACGGTCTTTGATATGGGCAACAATCAAGTCGGCTTTGCGCCAGCATCGAATGGGGAATCGATTGGCAGTTCCGCTTGTGATTGCTCATGTGCATCAAGCAACTTGGTATGAGTCTTAGGTGTGGTAGGTATCAAGAATGATATTAAAAAATATGGATAAAAATATATAAAAAAATATAAAAAAAATATTAGAGTAATGAGTAATTATTTATTTAGTCTCCGAACAGCTGATGAACGTTAATGGGTAACTTTGTATTTATTTCACGTTAGAAGTAAAGTGGGAAGTATGTACATTCCCCGTAGAGGGCCACCTTTATTAGAAAAAAAAATATTTTTTTTAAGTTTCGGTGTGTTTACGTTGTGTTATTCACTTGGCTACTACGCACGCAGGTTTCCTAATTAATTAGTTTTGTTTTTTTCCTCCCGTTTGCATCTTCGCGCGTCCACACGACGCTTATCTCTCTATCTTTTATCGTTTTTCCAGCACCTTATCAGTGTTCCTAATTTATAGAATAATAAATAATTGATAAAATTTTATAAACTCGCTTTGAAATTATCGATTATATTATATGTTGAAGTTGAAATTTCGTTTTCCAAACCATTTTTGGTGCATTTGGCAACACTGCCATTAGAATATCACACTGCCGGGCCACCTCTTGTCCAAAGAAGATATTTTAAGAATTGTGCTTTATAAATATTATATTTAAAATACTTTCATTCCCTTTCTCTCGTGTTTTCTCCACTAGAACTATTCAAATTCTTTGGTAATTATATAATTTTTGGCACTTTTTTTTTTAAGGAAAATTCCACAGAAATAATCCTGAAGCTTATGTTATTAAGATTCCAAAATACCTGTTATGACTGCGCAAACATTTTTTATACATAATAACTATTGCAAATACGAGTACATATATGTATAGTATAATATATCGGGAAGCTTAAAATTCACTTATGCTATCACGCCATTACTATAATATATATGAATGTCACAATTAGTTATGCGTGGTGAATTATGGTGCGCTCCACAGTAAATGGCTTATTTCGAATATTATTTCTTTTCCATACTAATTCACCGTTGAGTCGATCGTCGGCAGCGCCTTGACGTTTTTCTAGCATTCTACATTCTGTTCGACCAAGCTTTTTTTTTAGTCAGGCCTAGATTCGGTCTGCTATGCACTCGGTTTTGTTGCTGATGAGACAGCGTTACTCCCAGGCTCTTCGATTTTGACGATTAGAAATTCAATTTTCACTACAATAAATAATCGATTATTCCGCACTTTCGATGTTTTCAAATCAAAAAGAAAGTAAGAAATTATTCACACTTCTCATTAATTTTTTATATTTTTATATGTAAAATTATTTTCGAATATATGCGAGTATAGCACGAACACAGTCTCACAAATGTCAAATAATCGTGCTCTAAATGATGATGACTCTGAAGCATTGTAAAGACTATACGATTTTATAGAGACTCGAAAGTAACCTCACACCCTCTTTGTTTTGCTTCCTTGTGCCAGAGAACGTAGAATAACGGGAAGGACCGATTGCGGACAGGCGTGTGAACTGCCAGAATCGACGAAAGAAGTAAGAGACTATTTCACCACTGCCGCCAAAAGTTGACTCTGTTTTTCAACATTTCTGAGTAAGATAATCATAAATTAATAAAATAATTGTTTCCCAAATATCATTATTTTGTAAATAATTTGTCAGTGTCTCTGGTAGTTCGCTGTTAACCAGCGGTGAAATAGTCTCTTAGCTTCTCTCTCCTTCTCTTTAATATACGTTCTCTGCTCACAGCCACTTTGTTACTTCGATACAAATTTCCAATAATCGATAACACTTTATGGCGACTTTCTTTCCGAATAACATTGACACCAGGTTTATGATATGAAATTATTTCCCTATGGATTTTTATGAAGAGCTTTTACTTCATGTGAGAAAAAAAGCTTGACATTCTCTACCGACGAGCAATCGCAATTAGAAAAATTAATTTTCTATCATTTTAGAAGTTCATCGAACCAGTACTCGTACTCTGGTCTTCAGAATGGCCGTACGCCATTAAATTTGAAAAATTATGTGGATCTCCTTTAGGAAGTCTGCTTTCCTTTAGATTTGTCAAACTTGCAACTATTTTGACATTTACTTTCGGTACAGAGGATGTGAAATGTTTAATCATTTAACGGTGATGAGTTAAATTTGAAGAAAAGCGGTCGGAACGCGAGGCAATAAACGTTCGCAAACCGATTCGTTAAACGATTTTCTCTCGAGAGATAATAAAGTTGTATTCATATAAATATTACAGTTATAAATAGTTATTGCGTAAATTTCTCTTAAATATAATTGAATTTACGCCTGGAATGTACCGCGCTCTGACGTACATAAATATGTATTCATACCGCTATCTATATAAAGGATTACCCTTAAGAATGCCCAAAAATTAAATTTATTATAGATAAAAGTTCTAAAAATTTAGATAGTTATGTGTATATATTTCCAATAGGCATAGCTGACCGCGTACTGCGAAAAACGGTCAGTCAAAATGTTGAAGTTGATAGTGACGGTCTTGTGTTTGGCACTGGTTGCCGATGCCGCAATCGTGCGCGTACCGTTAAAAAAGCCCAATAAACGACGTGCTATTAAGAATATCAGCACACACCTGGCCGTGTTGCGTAGTAAATACAATTCCAGTTTCGCCGTTACCAACGAGCAATTGACCAACTATCTGGACGATCAATATTATGGACCGATTACAATTGGCACGCCACCACAAAACTTCCAAGTACTCTTCGATACCGGCTCCTCGAATTTGTGGGTACCCGGTGCACCGTGTGCTGCCAACGATACAGCTTGCCAAACGCATAATACCTACAACTCAAGCGCTTCCTCCACATATCAAGTGAATAATCAGAGTTTTGCTATACAATATGGCACTGGCAATTTAACGGGTTACTTAGCCATGGATACGGTGAACGTTAGTGGTTTGATCATTACGAATCAGACTTTTGCTATTGCTACCTCAGAGCCTGGCGATACTTTTGTTGATTCCGCATTTGATGGTATACTCGGTATGGCTTTCCAACAGATCGCTGTGGATAATGTAGTGCCACCATTTTACAATATGTACACACAAGGTTTGATTGATTCGCCCGTCTTCGCTTTCTATCTGACAAGTGAAGGCACCACAGTACTTGGTGGTGAGCTCACCATCGGTGGCATTGATGCCACGCATTATACGGGCGCAATTACTTATGTACCTGTCGTTCCGCAAGGTTATTGGCAATTCTTTATCAATTCGATTGTTATCGGCAATAATTCTGTTTGCAACAGTTGTTCGGCCATTGCGGATTCGGGCACCAGTTTGTTGGGCGTACCGACCAACACCTATATTTTTGTGCAGAATTATGTAGGGGCACTGCTCAATGAATATGGGGAATATGTTTTCGATTGCCTCTCAACGCAGAATTTACCTGTGGTCTCGTTCAATATTGGTGGCACCGTGTTTACGCTAGATAGCAGAAATTATGTTGTCGAAGCAATTAATGAAGCTGATGAAGTGGTGTGCATGTCTGCTTTCGAAGATGCCGGTACTAATTTTTGGATTTTGGGCGATGTTTTCATGAGCAAATACTACACCGTTTTTGATATGGGCAACACTCAAGTTGGTTTTGCGACGGCCGCAAACAACTCAACCATAAATAATGGTGTTGGTGGTGCACTAAATGTAAATCCCTCAGTTCTAGGTACATTGGCGCCCATTGTTGTTGCCATTTTATTCAGTATGTAATAAATTGGTAGTCAAGGAGAGAGAATGAAAATTAGTTCTACTGCCAATTTATGTATAAAAATGGAAAAGCAAAAAGATCAAAAAATAAAAATTTATATTAAGAGCTTAGTTGTTTGCATAATTTAACGTACTCGTATGTAGTAGTTAACAGATACATATGTACATACATATAGTCATTGAAAAACTTTGTCATTTTAGTAGTTCTGTTATCGATTTAATTATAATTGCTACTTAATACTGATAAAAAATAATAATTAATAAACCCTTGCAAGGGTTTGTTATTTTATGTACAGAAATTTATTACCAAACCATAAAGTAATTATTTAAATAAAAACTGATTGACGAGCTCTGATAAAAACTGGTTTCACTATGTAAACATTCGTGACTCGCCCCCAATAATTTAATAATTTACTGTGATTTAGTGACCTATTTTTTGTATAGTACTTTGTTCAATTTTATTTTAATTTAATATAATTTTATTTTTTTACTTTTATTTAGTTTTCTTTTATTGTGTTTTATTTTAGTTTACGTTAATCTAATTTTTTTACTTCTATTAATTTTAGTTTTATTGTAATTTATTTTATTGTCTTTAATATTTTTATTGTTTTTTAATTTAATTTTTTTTTTATGTTATTTTATTTCATTTTATTATATTTTATCTCATTTATTTTGTTTTATTTTATATTTATTTTTGTTTACTTTTATTTATAGTAGTTTTATTTTATGCAATTTATTTTATCTTCTTATTTTTTACTTTTATTAATTTTATTGTTACTTATTATTTTTTTTTAATGTAATTTAATTTATTTTTATTTTTTTTTTATACATTTATTTATTTTTCTTTTATTTATTATTTATTTTTTTATTTACATTACTTTATTTTATTTTATTTAATTTTTTTTTTGCTTTATTTCTTTTATTTTATTATATTTTCTTTAATAACATTTCCTTTTATTTTATTATATTTTATTTTAGTTTAAATTATTTTAGTTTAATTTATTTTATTTTATTTTATTTTATTTTAGTTTACTTTATTTTATTTTATTTTATATTATTTGGTTTTGTTTTATTTTATTGTACGGTATTTTATTTCGCTGTTACTTTACCTTATGTTTTTATTTATTATTTTTTACTTTATTTTTTTATTTTCTTCTATTTATTATTTTTTTATTTATTTTTTTTTTTATTTTAAATAATTTAATTTATTTTACGCTGTCATTTAGTATTTTTTTCTTTAATTCATTTCATTTTATCTTTTTTCATCTTATTTCAGGGTATTTTTAATTCATTGCTATTATTTAATGTAATTAAGTTTTGGGTGGATTTTTAATATAAAAGTTTCCAAGCTCACCATTCGAATATTGTATTTACCACCATCACACCACTGGTATGTTGTATTTTGTTCTGCCAAGCCGGCGCGTTATTTTATCAAGTTATCCAGTTTAAGTGTGCTTTTAGGCGTCATGATGGGATTTAGTTACGAAGCACGAATGGTTAGGCAACTGAATTTTTCTTAAAATTATTAAATATATAATTTTTTTTTGGTTGGGAATTTTCAAAGAGTCGGTATTATTATACTTGCAGTGACATGTCAGAAGACCTAATTTGAAACAACGGCTAGGCCTCGAAGGAAATACCACCCAAGGAAATCGTTGTAAAAAAATTGTCTTTGCATAGCTAATTGGTATGTTCTAATGGTTAAACCCTCAAATCACATCCATACTCTTCGGGTAATATTTGGAGTTCGGGCAATACATAGGTAAGATTTTCGGAGAGAAGGCGCCTTTTTCCATGGCGGATTCAGAGTCCGCAGTGGAATATGAAAATCATGAAGACTTATCCATATTCCAAGCATAAGAAGCGATCCAAACCAAGCGCTGGGAGAAGAAATAGGAATTTACTAATGTAGATATGCATTAGGTGATCATTTCCTGGACTCATGAGATATCTTAATAGTGCGGCGGCGAAATAATGCATTGCCATTGTATACATTAATGGCTGGGGTCTTTTTCAATACCCCAGCGAGCAAAAGCTACAGTTCGGCATTATTTCAATGCAAGCGAATATTCGAATGTTTCTGATTTGTTACAGGGCGCTTAACGCTGCCTCAATGTAAAAGTGTATTTTCTTATCAGTAATTACAACTTCAATTAGCGATAATGGACCGCTTACGAAAGTCGCTGTTTAAAATCAACGAGAAATTTGTGCGTTTAAGATAGTATAAAAGCTCCGCTAGATACACAATGATACATCACAGTTCGATTCTAAAATCAACGTGTTAAATCGTCCGACCCATAATGTTGAAGTTGACCGTTACAGTTTTTTGCTTAGCACTAGCCGCCCAGGCGACCATCGTGCGTATTCCACTGAATAAGCCGAGCCAGAAACGCTCGTTGAAGAATGTTGGCGCGCAGTTAGCGGTTTTGCGTAGCAAGTACAATGCCGCTTCTGGCAGAGCCACAGACGAGCAGTTGCACAACTATTTGGATGATTCGTACTATGGTCCCATCACGATTGGTACACCACCACAAAACTTCCAAGTACTCTTCGATACCGGCTCATCGAATTTGTGGGTGCCGAAAGGACCATGTACCGATTCCAACCAGGCATGTCAGAATCATAACTCTTATGACGCTAACAAATCGAGCACATATAAGGCCAATGGTGAAGCTTTCTCCATCCAATACGGTAGTGGCAGTCTTTCTGGTTACTTGGTTGAGGACAATGTCAACGTCGCAGGCTTATCTATAACTGGTCAAACATTCGCTGTAGCAACATCGGAGCCAGGCACTACTTTCGTCGATTCGGAATTCGATGGTATACTTGGCATGGGTTATCAACAGATTTCTAATGACAATGTTGTACCACCATTCTACAATCTGTTTAAGCAAGGTTTGGTTGCAGAGCCAGTTTTCAGTTTCTATTTGACACGCGAAGGCACTTCTAGCCAAGGTGGTGTTCTGACTTTGGGCGGTATTGATAGTGATCATTATGAGGGCGAGATCACTTATGTTCCAGTCTCATCCAAGGGCTATTGGCAATTCAACTTGGACTCGGTATTTGTCGGAGGTGTTGAATTCACCAGCGAGGGTTCCGCAATCGCCGATACCGGCACCAGTCTCATTGCTGTACCCTACTACATCTACCAAGATTTACAGTACGCTATTGGTGCTGAACCTGACTACTACGGACAATACTTTATCGATTGCTCTCAAGTTTCTAGCTTGCCGACAGTTTCTTTCGTCCTATCTGGCAGAACTTTCACTTTGGAGGGTAAGGACTATATCGTTGAGGTTACTGGTGATAGCGGTGAACAATTGTGCATGTCTGCTTTCGAAAATGGCGGTACACCTTTCTGGATTTTGGGCGATGTGTTCATTGGTAAATACTTTACTGTATTCGATTTGGGCAATAACCGTGTTGGTTTCGCTACGGCTAAATAAACCAGCTGAATTGGGTTAATCGAAAAATTGAGTTATGTAAAATTTTCAAATAAACAAAAAAAAAATATTTATTTGAATAAACTTATGTTGTTTCGTTAGTGTAGAGGGTGTATAGGTCTTTAAACGTTTCAGGACGATGTATTAATTTCATCTGGATATTTGGGAGAGGACGAAAATATTTATAGAGAAATTATTTTCAATTTGTTTTTAGCGCCTTGTTGAATTATGTCCTTTTAACCTATTGACCTTAGCGGATTTAGATCATAGATTGTCTCAACGAAGGTGTGGGCATTGCAGTGGACTTAACAGCTATCCATCTGTACTTCCCTTTGGTTCGAACGAGGGCAGTAGCGTATATTCTGGTACTGCCGTTATTTGATCTCAATGACATTGACTAACTTTGATTAAATCTAAGCAAGGTTACCTATCCGTCGTTTAGAGTAAATTTGAGCATTATTTTTTTCACATTTAATTATTTTTATTCAGGGAATTAAATGTTAACATCAAAGAGGAGAAGACTACTAGTATACAACAAGAAAGTAAAAGCAATGTGCGGATCTTATCAGTCAGTCATGGGAACCGCATTATCTTCATTGCCATTGGCAGCAATGGGCGTGATGGCTGGCGATGATTTAACCAGCATGTCACTTGCGTTGGCGGCCATTGCTGCTTGTCTGCCGCATATATTCACTCCGGATATATTTTGTGCACCTAAAATAGTATCAATGATTATTATTTTGTATGTTATGTCATAATATACCACAGTGCAAATTTTTTTCTTAACTAAGAACTGGGGTTAATGCTGGCAGTGCTGCGCATAGCAAGACAGCTGTTACTATTTACAACTCCCAAATGGAGTAATTGAATTGCCAATTTGTAAAATACTCACATGGAATTGGAGCTGCTCCACCGCCACCGTTAGTGGCACGGGTTGAACGACTTTTGTGGAACATTGCCGCCACCGCAGCTGCTTGTTGTTGTGTTTGATGATAGATTTGTTGCTGCAACATCTGTGCATACACGAGCCTTTCATAAATGCCTGTAGTAGTGCCCATAGTCGTGCCCTGTGTTGTAGCGCCACTCAAATACTGAGTTTCTTTAAAAAATGTGTTCAAATATTGTTGAGTGGTTGTGGTAAGCATTGGATTGGAATAAAGTATAGTTGGCGAAGAGGCCAGAGCAGCATTGGCTAAACTATTTGAAATAAAATTTGTTGTAGTCGACGAATGTTGATTATATACAAGTGGTGGTGTAGCAGGAGCAGCCGCAACATAGGTAACCTTATTGCCGAGAAACATGCCATATGCTGCGCTGCCGCCAGCAGGACGAACCGAAGCCTGTTGAATACCATTACACATTTGATAATACGCAGCTGAAGCTGTCGATGATTGCTTCTAAATGGAATAAATAATTGAAAAAGATTATCAACCAAGAGCATCCCTATGCTAACTTACACTGAGGTTACTGAATCCAATGCCGGAAGTAGATTCGGGCGCTGGAGGCGTAGGATATAAACCATTGCCATAGCTGGCAACAAATGGCACAGTTTCCGGTGATGTAGTTGCACCTTTTGCACTTAGAAGTGGTGCAAGATTTTCAGGAAAGTCAAGAAAATCCTTACCATAAATAGCGTAATTTTGTGCAGCTTGAAAATACTCTGCACTGCCGTTTGATGGATGACCGGTAGTGTCACCGTATATAGCGCGATTCACTTCTTGCACATATGTATTGCTGCTGCGTCGGCAGTTCGATTCTAATTTCGAATTCCAATCATTTTCCGCACTAATTGTTTCGCACTTATCGCTCGACATACACGGTTGATGCCAAATTGGATCAGTGAGCTTCTTTGTTGTGGGCACTTCTATTGTCAGTATAGTGATGTTACTTCAGATAAATAAAAGAAGAAAGTGTGAAATTACCGTGCTCCTTTGTATTCCAAACTGGGAATTCATTTTTAATTTTTGACAATTCTTTGGCAATTGAAATTTTCGGTTTTCTTTCTTTCTTATTTTGTCCCAATATTGGATTTTTTTCAATACCTTCTGAAAGGGTAAAATCCTCGGCGATCTCTTCTTCACGGCTATTCTGTTCGCATTTCATCTTGTTGCTATCGTCTTCTTCCTCACTAGTTGCTGAAACAACGGAAACTTCTGAATTTTTTTTTCTAATTTTCTAAGATATATGTATGTATGTATGCTTTCATATGTTCGTCTTATTAAAACCAAATCACATTTTTGCTTTTTAATTAAATCTGTAATTACAGTCTAAAAATTCCAGCATGCCCTCTATGAGTTTTTCTGTCTGTTGAGTCTGCTGTGTTTCCATTCTCTTGATGATTTCGTTTTAATCTCTTTATTGCGCTTAAGCTTTTCAAATGCTCAAACCAATAAAACTGTGAAAAGGTACTGCACCAACAATCACTTGCATGTAACGGTTGCTTTCTTTCACAGCTGTCCGTTGGAATTCAAATTTCACACTGTTTATCACAACTTTTTATAAAATTCGATAATTTAACTTTCTTCTGCTTAAATTTCCGGTTGCGTTGCTTTCGGATTTGTGTTCAATAGATTTCTTAAAAATTTAGAATTTTGTTATCATTTTTCAGAAGCTTGTTACGATTTTAGCCAACTTAAACCATTTGTTTTGTAAAAGGTCAAGTGTTTTTGTATTTTTCGTGTGAGGTTAATTGCAAATGCAATGATTTACTGTCATTGAAGCATACTGCAAGGGTAAATTGCAGAAAACGGTCCATTTACTGTAGTCTACTCTTAGGCGTTAAATAAATTTAGAAATTTTTGCACAACATATACAAATTTATTTTCCACTTATTATATAAATAAAAAAATTTTTTAACACACAAACAAAAAGTCAAAAATTTTAAAATTTTCACATTTAACTGCTGGGCACTTCACAAATCGCGTAGCAAAATCCTGCGCCAGTCCCAGCAATTTTACAAGGGCCAGGCAATTGAATCCTTGTGGGTGAACATCTGAAATTTGTAGTAAATGAATATTATTTCCTTCCAAATATTTATAGAGTAACACTTACAAATTATCCGTAGCATCATTGCCACAGTTACCATGCTCATTCCAACCCCAAGTGTACACTTCACCATCTGTGCTGCGCAGCAAGCCATGTTCGGAACCCATGTGCAAACTGGAAAGCATAATATTACTGGGCAAATCAAGTTCTTGTGGCATTGGCTGATTTTTCGTTACACTTCCAATGCCCAACTGCCCATAACAATTACGTCCCCAACTGAGAACGCGATTATCTTTTAACATTACAGAATTGTGCGTCCAACCAGTGGTGATTTGTTTAATCTCTTCTTCAAATTGAAAAGAATTTGCTTGACCAAATTTATTATCTCCTAAAGCAATTACGCGTTTTGCACTAGTACCATATTGCAAATCTACCACTTTAAGTAAAATATGATTTTGTCCACTTGCTACGCCAGTTATGTGTATCTCAGTAGGTTCATTGGTTTGAATTTTTATAACAGGCGCACAATTAAGCGTCGTTGATGTTATGCATAAATCTGATGGTGGTTCATCTCCAATACGTAAACGGCCGAATACATAAACCTTGTGATCTTCGGTGAGTATGGCACAATGACGTAAACCGAAACTTATGCGTGCAGGTTTATCGTTACGGGGCAATATTACAGGCAATGGACGTCGGACTGCATTGAATTCCCGTTGGCACAACCCTAATTGCTGAAAGGAATTCGAGCCCCAAACATATAACTTTTTGGTGACAGTTATGCAGCCGGAAATATCCCAACCACAAGCGATGCTCTCCACTGGCACGTCCTGCAAATTGGTTGATAAAATTAATTAATCATTATATCGTACGTTAAAAAAATAGAGTAAAAATTTTATACCCCGAAATATTCGCCTGGTATAGTTTGAAATGTATTAAAACACTCCTCGGTTGAGTCTAAGCCTAATTGCCCACGTCCATTCCAACCGCATGCATGTACTCGTCCATTTGCATCGAGCACCAGCACATGGCCACCGCCACCACGTATACGTCGTACGCTGGCAGGATTAAAAGAATATTCACGCACAATTTCAGGTGACATGCATAACTCCGATTCAAAGCCAAGGCTAAGTTGTCCGTGCGAATTGGCGCCCTGTTACGATAGTGGCGAAAAGCACAATTTGTAGGTTTATTGACCGGAACTGTCAAATACCAATTAATTTGCAATGCAAATTTCGTACTTACCCAGGCGTACACAGACATCGTTGCAGTTTTGCCCTGCGCAAAGCTTGCGACCACCAGTTGCTATTTCCGCTGCACGACAATCTGTATTAGGTACTCTTTGATGTCCAGTAATGTTTGCTGCCAAAAAATCTCGTGCAAGTCTTAATTCCTCGGTTGCCAGTCACCGACTGTCGCTTGGTAATTGCATTCGCTTACTTTTTAACTTATTTCTTGAAAAATTTCCTTTATTTATGCACTTCTTTAATTTTATGGCCGATTGCATGTTTTAGCCAAATTAAGAGTGTTTTATTGTTGTTTTTAGCAAGTTAAGGAGTTTTCAATGCAGTTGAGCAGACGTGAATCAGTCAAACAGCTGATTGCCACACAGATGTTTTGTTTGAGCACAGGGTGTATCAAGTGGAGGAATAGTTCGTTGAGGTCGTGCGATGTTTTTAAGACATAGCAAATGTCGGTTAACGAAATATTGATTATTATTATTAGTGATTTCATATTAAGTGTTGCTTAAAAAAAATGTTACAATTTTCGTGGTAACCAGAAAAATATCTTCAACCATTGAGCGAGACAGCTCAATCTCTCTTCCGTTTTGAAAAAAATAATTTAAAATAAAATGGGCTGATGATTTTGAAACATTTCTTTCCTAAAAAAAGTTCGAAAGTCCTACTGTAGGAGAAGAACGAAAGAGAAGTGGAAGCCTTCGAAATGATAAGTTCGTTATGGTTCAGGCTTAAACAGCAAAAGAATTACGTTAAATCTGTAATTGGATTCCAGAAATGACGTAATTTAAACGAAGAGCACGAACCCACTTGTCAGCATCAGGTACATTCAAGGTTTAAGTCCTACTTTCCTAGACTGGGCCTACCGGACCCTGTTTCGCCCACATGCCAAATCCGAAAAATGACACGATCCTATCTTTAACAAAACTCATTGACAATATTCAGTTTACTGATTTTTAACACGGAGCAGCGTACTGCTACAATAAGACCATTAGCGGCGTAAGAAGATCGAATTAGCTTTCATCAAGCTATTACAATTTAAAATAAATAAGAACATTTTAAGCGATCACAACTCAATTCAATTCGATCAAGAGATCATGCTGAAAGCGATTTTTGTTTCGCCTCTTCCAACTTTTGCTACAAATAAAGGGGTCTACATTTTCCACGTTTCTAAGTTGTAGCGGTTCGTCTACTCTGCGTAAGATAGTCTAAGTCATTGAGATCATCTAACGGGAGGTACAGGAAACGGGCTAATTATGATGGGCTTAGGAGGCATAAAGTCTTGCGGAGTCGGATTCAAGTCTGTATAGGCGGGAATGAAGTCGTCTACTATATTATTTATCTTAATTTTGCCAAGATTACAAATGGTGGTGTTTGTATTCCGAGAACAGCTTTTACAGGGAGGGAGCTCATTAAGGCGATGACGGACTCTCAGTGAATGGTCTGTCTTATTTTCTGAGCACACACTGATATTCATTTGGCTTCTGCTCCCTAAGTCAATTATTGCTTTTATCAAATTATTAGCACTCCGACCGTGGATGATGCGAAAGCAAGCGTACTATCCATACCGCGTTTGGGGCCTAAAAAAAATTTACTCTCACAATCGTGTTCTTTTTTTACTTTTTAAAAGATACGAAATTTTCGCAGAAATCGTTAATATCTTTATTGCGTCTAATCACAGTAACTGTAAAAAGTAATGGCAGCCCCCACCTTCGCCACCCGCCACAGAGAGATAAAAATTCAAAGAAAACAAAAATAAAATAGAAATTACATTTGCAGGAAATCGCCGCCAACTAACTCAAATTATACAAACAAACACACAAAGCTGCACCTGAGCCACATTTAAATAGCCGAAAATACAATACAATACAAAAATACGCGAAAGGTAAAACGAAATAAATACAAATTAAAAAATACCAAGCAAAGTGCAGTTAGTACAAGATATTATACAAATATACAGGAAAAGCGCAAAGCACGAGCACGAGGAACCTGTCGCACTGTCTTGTCTGGCTGTCCTCGATGTTGGCCCCCGCTTCTTACAAGCGGACCCAGTGCGCTTGGTGGAATGCAGCGACCAAGTGGCGCGCAAAAGAAATGGAGTTATCCGCCATCGCTGCGAACGGTTTGTGAAAACAACTGTCCAAACTGTCCGAGACTGTCTAACAATGCGAAGTTAATATCAACGAAATATTTTCCTCAGCAGGTACGTTTATGTGTATGTACGTGTATGTATGCATAGTAAATTGTTGGTATACCGCCAAATCATTGCACTTGGCAAAGTCGACCATCCCGTGGTATGAAATGCAAATAACAACAATAATAACGCAAATACTGAATGAGCTAAATATAATAGTTACTTCACAATTGTCTTGTCATTGCAATTATCGAATTGTCTTGTTGCTTTAAGAAATTGTTTTTTTTTCTCTTATTTTCTGTTTTCAGTTTTCGGTAGGCACCAGCTGCCTGCAGCAAATACAAATGCACGAGTATAAGCTTACTTCCCATGCTGATTTGGCTAAACAACTGCTTAGTTGATTAGAATTCGGATTACACTAACTAACCGTTAAAGCAGATGAACTCCTTGGCGGCACAAGTGCATAGTGCATCACCGACCAGGTAGACAATCTTCTGCTCGCAATTTCAAATAGTTTATTAGTTTTACGTGGTAGACATTTGTCGGAGCGGCGCATCTTAGAAAGTCGTGCAAATGTTATTAGTTCACTTATTTCTATTTCAGTATTGAAAAAAATGAGTGCATAAAAATAAGCCAGTTGCCATTTGGTTGTTCATAAATTGAGGTTAGATCTGAATATATATGGATTGTAATGGCAGATTCACTAATATCCGCATGAATTAGTAAAAATAGTAAATAGGTTAACCTGGTTATGGATTATATTGACTCCAAGTCAATTGTTTAGTGCGATATTTTTGAAGCCTTCAATTTGAAAACTCTATACATACTATATGTACATAGATTAAAGGCAGTCAAGGTTGCTGTATCAACGTGTTAAAAAATGGTAAGAAAGAATAAGTATATTTAGTTTGCTTTTAGCTCTACAACATTATCTATTTGTTTCTACCCTGGTCGAGTTTCTCATGATGAGTTATAGTCATTGGTACAATGTATGTGCCAATAAGACAAACTATTCACTCCCTTCGAAAGCTTTTTCCTCCAACTGATTAACAGAAAAATATTAATTCATATTATATTTTGATTTCTATAAAATCGAACGTGTTAAATGAAAATCAAAAAGTCTGGTTTTCACTTATATCCCTCATTTTTGTTCTACCAAGAAATGTATGATTTAAAAAAAAAACGATAACTATTAAGGAAATGTATGCTTTATATCGATAACAACACTATTATGCTATGTTTACATTTCCAGCATTTATGCCATGACTCCTTGTATAGACTTTTTTATAAAGTTCCAAGGCGAATTTATAGAATATGAAATTGTCACATCACACGATTGCTTGTTCTTCCCTCCATTTCAAATAATTACACAAACCAAATACATACATCTATTTCTCATGTGTTTTGGCATTTCGAACGTTCGTTTCCACAAGCAAAATCCATTGAACGATTTGCGTTTTTGACTTTTCGAAACTATGATTACACAAACAAAATACATAAGCTTTTTGTTTTTGTATTCTTGAAACTGAGGGGACTATACAAGCCAAATTTACAGAAGGTAGTAGTAAATTTACAGAAGGTAGTAGTAAATTTGGCTCGTATAGTTCCCACAGTTTCTTTCTATCTCTTTTTATTTTTATCGATATGATCGCGGAAGAAGAAGAAACTTTGCTAACCGTTGATCATTGAACTTGATGAGCTCTCTTACTTCAGTACCGAGCGAGAACTTTGATCTACAGGAAATTTTGCTCTACAAATCCTTCCCACTTTTAGGTATTTATTAAAAAAAATCGTTATTTCCTAGAGGTGCGGCAATGAGGTGTGTGAATGTTGCTTTCCAACGTAGCAGACTTTCACCGGTATTCCTTCTCAGAATACCGCTCTAGCACATTTTCTATGTGGTTCTCGGTGGACTTTTGCCGTGTTTAGAGTTTCTATATGGATAGTGAGTCATCACAGAGCACAGATGTCTAAACAGTTATAAACCAGTTTGCACTTGCAGCTCGTCAATTATAGGTCTTTTTACGAATAACCGGAAACCATATAACACTTTCTTTGCGATCATCCAGCAATTTAATGGAGTAAATTAAAGTTTTTACGGTTGAGGAAAAGCGAGAACAACCAGCGGGTGGGGCTCAAGGTGCTAGCACAATGAATTTTCGAACGAGCTCCTCCTCCAAATTGTGTTGTGCATATTTATGTTTTTTGAACAATTAGAAGGACCAACGGTTTATGAGTAGGCACCTTGGTGGCCTAAGTGAACTGATATTCAACATTCGAGAGACTTAAGATGTACTCTGAAAGTTGAACTGGGGTAGCTCTGGCATGGAAGAAGAGCTTGTTTTCAATGGGCAGACAATGCCAAGCCTAGGAACGCTTCTCTGCCATGAAAATCCTGAAGGAATTGTGGCTTCCTATTTTTGGTTTATCCGAAATAGCACACACATTCTCACTACCATTAATTTTGCGCCAAACTACTTACCCTCTGCTAGTTGGTTTGCGATTAATGAAGAGGGCACGGGCTCGCATAGTTTTCTCCTAAGGACAGCTGAGTGCATGCGAATACATACGAGTATGTGGTGTTCTACTTTCACACCATAAAATTGGGCTAAAATTAATAATTCTATATATTTTGCAAAAAAAAAAATATTATATATATATACATACACATCAGACTAACAGTACTTGCAAAATGCACACAGGGCCTGAAGATTGCATCATGGTAACCTCAATATTTATGGGCGCATTACTTAGATGAGCTTTGTGCTTATTACCGTTAACCTTGCAACCGAAAGACCCGTCAAGAAAGTAGAACATACAAAAGAAAAGCGAGTGAATGTGTGTGCGTGTGATTGTGAGTGTGCTAAAAATTTAAAAAAAAAAGTACAAAACAGAGCAAAATTAAATTTTACATACGAGTCTGTGTAAGGTATGAGTGTACGAACGAATGTGTGAGTGTAACTAGTGTTGTTGTATTGTTAATATCACAAGAAATAGCAGACTGCTTTCCGTCAACTTTGTGGAAAGAATTCTGTTGCAAAAAAGAAAAAAAAATGCTACAGAAAACCCATAATTTTACTCGTATGTGTTCATTAAACGTGTAAATCATTGGAATTACAGTTGAAATGACTGCGAAAAGTGGACAACGAGCGCCAATTTAGGGCGCACCAACACACGGGGCAGCTGAAGTTAATCGTACATAC